GTGTGTGTGTGTGTGTGTGTGTGTGTGTGTGTGTGTGTGTGTGTGTGTGTAATTCTAAATTATAATTTAAAATTGTTTATTTTTTGTATTGGGTTCCCTGGAACTGGCATTGCAGGTGGTTGTGAGCCAACATGTGGTTCCTGAAAACTGAACCCAAGTCCTCCGCACAATAAACAAGTGATTTTAAATCACCGATTCGTCGCTTCAGCTTCCTAATTCTAAATTCTAAATCACAGTACGTATATGCTCTGGAAATCTCTTCACTCACCAAGTCCTTCCTTTGTCCTTCCCTGTTCCATGCATCATTTTGGTTTCTTACTAGAATCCCCTGCCATTATTCACAGACCCAAGCAAGAACTCCAGCTTCACTCACCTCACCCTTTCTCCACAAACGACTGCACCCTGTTGCTTGCTTGTCACTGATCCTGTCTCAGAGCCACTTTCTTGACCCACCTCTATTGAGAGTGCATGTAATATGAATCCTGGCCACAAGAGGGCAGAGAGTCGCTTTCGGAGGAAGGCCTTCCTTCAGGTTCAGTGAGTCTGTACAGCATGCTTCTTAGACTAATTACACTGGACATGAGAAAGTTTCCCTCCTGACACCAGCAGCCGGCGGAACCCTATCCTGTGCCCCGGTGTGTGTTTTGAGCTAGCCAGAAACAACTCTTGGTTCCATGTCTGCCAGCTACAACTTGGAGCAAGGGTAGAAATGAGGAAATGAGGTCACTGAATCGTCTTTTTAAAACAGTCAAAGATGTAAATAATTAATTATATCAGCGTTACACACACCCCTGCCAACACCGAAGTTATAACCGTAACTTTGAATGGAAAAATGTACATGAAATTGTTCATGAGAAATTCTCAGATAAATTCACTGTCTGGACATGAAGATCAATGGACTTGGATGATATGAAAAGAACACAATACCCACATACAAACCCTGACAGATACCAACTCCTGATTCTTGACAAAGATGAAAATAACACTGAAAGAAAGACAGTGTTTTCAACAAATGTTATTGGGAAGACTTGAAATCCATACATAGAAGAATGAAACTAGATCCTTAACTCTCAATCTCCATAAAAAGCAACTCTAAATAATTGAAGACCTTAATATGAAACAATAAATTCTAAAACTATTAGAGGAGAAAGAAAGAAAACAATTCAAAATGCAGGGGTAGACTAGTAATATTTTTGGTTTATCTCATATTTAGCTCCTCATCTACAGTGCTTGGAGGCTCACCTGACCAAACACAAGCTTGCTGGAAGCTGTCTTATAATCTAACCAGCTACAATTAGCTGAACTCAAAGAAAGGCTTTCTGAAAAGACAGTAACACCTTATGTATGTCCCTAAGAAACTTCAAGTGGCCAACGGGGCTGGTGTTACTAGCCCACATACATTCCTACTCTCTTCTGCCTAACTTGGTCATCTCATACCCAGCTATAAACCCTCTTGTTTGTCTTCTTCAGCACTGCAGCTTCTGCTGTTTTAACTACAGGCTTGGTTCTCGCTGTAACATCCATGAGCAACATACAGTTTTTACTCCAGGACCTTTCTCCTTGATACCTCCAGACAGCTAGTTCCTGTCATGTTATTTACAACAGCTGAGTTATAGAAACAGCCTAAGCATTCCACAGCAAAGAAAAGGAAAAAGAAAAGGTGGGTTATATACATACTGAATTTTTTTCAAGCGTAAAGGAGATTGAACTTATACGTTTGAGAGAATATGATGCAACTGTAGATAATCCTATTATTAGAAATAAGCAAGTCTCAGAAATACAAGTATCTTGTGTTGTGTTCCTTTTGTTTCTGTTTTTTATGTGTATGGGTATTTTACCTGTATGTCTGTGCACTACATGTGTGTCTGGGCACCTGAGGAGGCCCTTGAGACTGGAGTTAGTCGCCATGCGGGTGCTGGAGAGCAAACCCATGTTCTCTAAGAGCAGCAGTGCTCTTAGCCACTGATCATTTCTATGACACCAATGTTATATTTTATCTCAAACATGATTTCTAGATTTTACACATATGTAAAAGCATGTATGTCTATATGACATCAAAAAAAAAGTAAAACTGGGAGAAGAAAGGGGGTTTCAGAGAACTTGGGTGAAAATGGCAGCAGCTGAGGTGGTGAACAGCATCAGGGAGGTTTCCTGTGGTCAACCAGAAAGCCGTGAGAAGCCCAATGCTGAGGCCATGACGTCCAAAGACCACTACTTTGAGTCCTATGCCCACTTTGGCATCCATGAGGAGATGCAGAAGGATGAGGTGCCCACCGTTACATACAGCAACTCCATCTTTCACAATCAGCACCTCTTCAACGACAGGATAGTCTGGACCTGGGCTCAGGCACCGGCATCCTCTGCATGTTTGCAGCCAAGGCAGAAGCCCGCAAGGTCATTCATTCATTCTCAACATTCATTGAGACTGAATGTTCAAGAATCTCTCATTATGCTGTGAAGATTGTCAAAGCCAATAAGCTAGATCACATGGTGACCATCATCAAGGCAAGGTGGAGAAGGTGGAACTGCCCATGGAGAAAGTGAACATCATCATCAGAGAGTGGATGGGTTATTGTCTCTTCTACAAGTTCATGCTCAAGACTGTGCTGTATGCCCATGACAAGTGGCTGGCACCTAATAGCCTCATCTTTCCAGTCCGGGCCACCCTTTATGTGACAGTCATTGAGGACCGATAGTACAAAGACTACATGATCCATTAATAGGAGAATGTATATGGTTTCGATAGGTCCTGCATCAAAGACGTGGCCATCAAGGAGCCCTTGGTGGACGTGGTGGACCTGAAGCAGCTGGTCACTAATGCCTGCCTCATAAAGGAGTTGGCCATTTATACAGTCATGGTAGAGGACCTGACCTTCACCTCTCCCTTCTGCCTACAAGTGAAGAGAAATGACTATGTGCATGCATTGGTGGCCTCCTTTAACACCGAGTTCACCCAATGCCACAAGAAGAATGGCTTTTCTATTGGTCCTGAGTCCCCATATACACACTGGAAGCAGACTGTGTTTTACATGGAGGATTACCTAACAGTGAAGACTGGCGAGGAGATCTTTGGCATCCCCCAATGCAAAAAATAATCGTGACTTGGACTTTACCATCGACCTGGACTTCAAGGGCCAGCTATGTGAGCTCTCTTGCTCCACCGTCTACCAGATGCTCTGAGGTGGTGCCAGGCTGGCCCTCCTGCAAAAGGGGGCTTAGGGACTGGGATTATGGGATGGGAGGGTACATCATGACTGTGTTTTCCATAACTTATGTTTTTATATGGTTGTATTTACACCAATAAAACTGTTCACACATTTAAAAAAAAAAGAAAAGGAGAGGTAAGAAAAGATAGCGCAATAGTGTTAAGGGGGAGAATAAGACCACAAATACAATACACATTTATATGAAAATTAGACATGTGCATACACTTGCAGAGTAATATTAGGATGGGTCAGGAGGTCAAAGGACTTGATGAACAAGTCTGAGGACCTGATTTCAGTCACTGGGATCCATGGTAAAAGCTAAAACCTGAAAGTTGGGGCAATATGAACATGCACACATATACATTCAAAAGTAAAATTTTTCAGTGTGTGGGTATGTATGACAGTGTGGAGGGCCGCAACCACATTCTCCATTACAGGATGGCGCTGGCATCCGGTTTCACCGCCAGGTGAACAAGATAATGCGCATGTAATTGGTAATTTTCCACTGCTGCGTCCCCGCCTACTCCCGAGGCGTCATCTGGGTTGATGGGCAGCAGACCAATCCAGGAGTGACACGTCCGAAACGAGGACTGTTTCCTATATAAGGGATGGGTTCCCCTCATTCTGGGTCCCCGGCCATGTTAGCTGATGCTCTCTCTCTCAAGACGCATTAAAGCTTTTCTGCAGAAGAATCCTAGTGTCCGGCGTGGTTCTTGCTGGCGAGACGATAGCATGGGACATGACAGATGTCATAAGAAATATAAGATTAAACAATGTCAAATTGCTTGTTCTTTAGTTTAATAATATTTGTATATTCATTCAAACTTACCTGTGTGGATGAATTTTTTTACAAAAAAAAACTTATAAAGACAGAACTACGTTCTATAATTTAAAAAGGATTTCATATTGCTTGGGGGGAAAAGAAACCTAGAAGATACAGAAGTTGATTGCTGGGTGTCTATGAGGGTTTACTTTCCTGGCTGTTTCCTTTCTTCTTCTCTGATCCTTTCTACTTTGGCAAGAACTGCTCAGGGCTCCTAACACCATAATGGACTAGAACCTCCAACATTGGGAGCTCCAGCAAACGCTTGCTCTCTTACTGTCAGGTACCTTGATCACAGAGACAAACAAACAAAACTGGCCATCTGGAGGCTGGAGGGATGGTTCAGAAGTTAAGAGCACTTACTGCTCTGGCAGAGAACCCTGATTTGTTACCTAGCACACATTCCACGTGGCTCGCAACAGCTGGTAATTCAAGCTCTAGGAGGAAGTGAAGTCTCTGGCCTCCTCTAGCACTTGTACAAATACACACACACACACACACACACACACACACACACCTAAAACAACAATAGAAGGAGAATCATGGCCAAGAAAGAACAGCATCGTTGGCATGGTGGGAAGATAATTTACATTGCACTTGGGCAGGCTCTCCACTATACAGGTGTATTTTGTACCATAGGAGGAAAAACATTCATCTCTCTGTTTTCCCAGTCAACAAAAAACTGAGCTCAAAAGTTTTGGCCTTTTAGGATTCTGCCTCAAATTGTGTGGCATGCTGGAAAGTATAAAGCTGCCTTTAGATCATATAGGTGGATGAATAATTGCGGACAGTACAGGGCAATACACAAATGCATACATGTCCATGTACAAAGAGATAAAAATCTTTGGCTTCCTTAAAATAGTTAACAATATTGTCAAGTAGTATGTAATTCAGAAAAGAAAAACAGCATACAGACATATATACACACACACACACACATACTCATGTGCAGACTAACAGATACAATCCATAGTTTCCACCAATTAAAGGGCTAAGAATGTTGCCAAATAGTATGTAAGAATTGTAGCACAAGTAATAAAAACCCAGAGACATATATTGGAGTTCAACCTGAAGATCAGAGAAGCAAAGCAGCCAAGCCACTAGAGAGCTTTTACCTCTTTAAAATCGTCAGACTGAAAGAGAACGAATGAGTTACTGTCTCATTCTGACTAATATTCCTCTCTAGTGCTGGGATTAAAGGCCTGCAGCACCGCCGCCTGCCCTCTAGGGCTAACTAGTGTGGCTGCTGGGACTAAAGGTGTGTGTGATACCACTGTCTAGCCTGTATGGTTGATTAGTGCGGCTGTTTTGCATTCTGGTCTTCAAACAAGCTTTATTTATTAAAATACAAATGAAATATCACTACATTTCCCATTTTTTGTCTAAAATACTAAAGAGGGATATTATTAATATAAGAAAAACTACATATAGTAAGTATAATAACTATATACAATCCATGCAGGCAGTAAATACATAAACAATGTCTAGTCTATTTGCATTTGACAAATTCAGAGAAAATACTCCATATTTATCCTATCTTGGTGAGATCAAAGTCTTGTACCTAATTTACTTTCTATCATAACTTGTTTTCTGCATCTGGTAAACAAGGAAAACTATAACTATAACTATCCAATCTTCAATTCCCTTAGAGACCCAAGAAGAAAATAGTATCAACTTCCAAAAAATGTGAGAAATGACAGAAACAACTAGCTGCCTGGACAGTCACCCAAAGTTCCTTTGCAATGCTGGGCATCCATTTTTGGCCTACAGGCCTAGCATATTCAACAGACTTTTCAGTAAAGCAGGATTTTCTGAAGGGCTCTCCTACCTTGTCTTGACACTGTTTGACAGTCACTTTCCTTTGTGTCCTGTTTGTTCAGTTAGGACAGCATACTGTCAGCAGTTGAGGCAAGGGTATTTTCTTGCCCAGGGGCTTGCTTTTTCCCCAAAGAAAGTAAACTCAATGTGGAGTTTCTTCTATGCCCATTATCTTCTCTGAAGTAGATTGGAGCTGCCAGGACCAGACATGTCTCATTGTCATAAAAAAAAAAAGAACCAATGTTATTAAAACATCTTAAATGCCATATTCTGTAGATCTCTGAAGTATTTGAAGATGACCTGTCTGTCTAAAATATATTTTTGTTTGATCTTGAAAACATACCTAATGTGACTACAAGTTCAATTATAATAGGTGACTAACTACTAATCCGCATTCCCTTATTATCCCAAACAGTTGGTAATACTAATTTTTAATGACTAGAAATTTGTATTACAATTTTAGATAAGTTGTATAGGTACAAGACCTTGAACAAGAGTAGAAATGTATTACATTATGTCTAACAAAATTAATCTCAAAATTTATAATGATATATAAAATTTGAATACAATATACAAAAGTCCAATCCAAAATAAAACATTTAAAACTAGTAGCTGCTTTTCTACCTGTTATCATATCTATATCCTCCCTTTTTTCTTTTCAAAATAAGAACCTTGAATCTAATTTCTTTCATTTAGCTTTTTTCCTGACCACTACCAATAACAACTTGTAATCAATCCCCCTAAACAATGACAAACGTTCATAACTCATTGAATGACTAAAAACCACCCACCCCACCTCTTGAGAATGTGGGTATTGTATTCTTAAATTTACTTCCTGCTGTCTGGGGACAATGGTGTCTTTACCCCTAAAGAAAAACTTTGGTTAATTGTCAAGTCCTGGGAGAGGTAACTGCATCATTTGTTGTCCAGTCTCTGTGTAATGGAAAAGTACAGGGCTTATCACAAGTCCTGGCTACGTAGTCTCTTAGGCTGGATCATCTCAGCTAGCCACCTCAAAATTGTTCTGAGCAGGTTATAGTCCAAAGCTAATCTTCAGGTGGTGTTTTTTCAGCTTAGTAGTGTTATGATAGCCCTGGAGGAATTATCGTTGGGGGACCACATCCTCCTTTTGGAGACGTCAAAGGTCATTGTTAGACGTCCTCAGAGTTCAAACCCAAAGCATTTTGGAACTCAAACCCAAAATTCTGTACAAAAAATGACTAAACCTTTTTCTAGATTTAGTTAGTACTCTATATGACCATTAATATCATGACAAAAAGTTTAATATATATATTAATTTTATAAAATTTATACCTTAAGAAAAGTTGTTAAGGAGTCAATATAAAACCAAAGAATTATGAGATTAGTGGCAATAAATTAGTCCTTAAATATTTGTTTTTCTTCTGTCCCATATCAGGTGGTTCTTCTGACATGAGACAGAAATTTTGTATTTTAATCTGAAAAGCATACTAGGGTTTAGAGAAGAGAGCCACACCCCAAACTCCAAAGCTAGCTTTAATCTTTAAATGGACTGGGACTACAAAAAAAGACTACTTGCATTATGTATCTGTAGATAATAGTAAAGCAAACATTTGGAAAGATTTGTGAAATTTTATCCTGTTCGAAATGTGATACATCAATAGATCAATTTACTCTTTTTCTTAAGACATTTCTTTCTGGATTATGTTTTTTTTTTTTTCAGATGTCTCATTTGTCCAGTGGTCTTTAGATTCCTTAGCTGGAAACCTCTATTCTTTTGAAAAGACAGGACCAAAACCCTTCTCCACCCCTAATTTTGGGGAGATTCTTTTTTTGGCAAGTTATACTGATCTAATGAAAATCATTTGTTAGTTTTAAAGGTTAGTTTAAATTAAACAGCCATTTTACTTAATGAACTATCATCTCTTCTAATTAAGAGGTATCTCTGGTTCAAATCAAATAAATTTTTTTATCAATTTTTATGGTACCCATAGCTTTTTTTTCTCCTGTGGAAACAAAAGCAAAACCCCTTTCTCCATGTAACACAATGTCCTGGTTTCCACTCTGAGGTCAGTACATCTTTAAAGTATATCAGATGATTTAATTCTGAAGTTTTTTCTACTATCCAATGTCTCTCTGCAATTGTTGTTTATTTCTCTTCTCATTAGCATTTGGAAAATGCAAAGTTAATAAATCACTATGCAATATATTTCTGAGTGGTATTTATTATCCCTATCTCTTTTGTTATCCTTTAGAGTTCAATTTGATTTCTCTGTATTATGTATCTGTAGATAATAGTAAAACAAACATTTGAAAAGATTTGTGAAATTTTATCCTGTTGGAAATGTGATACACCAATAGATCAATTTGCTCTTTTTCTTAAGACATTTCTTTGTGGATTATCCTGTAGGATTCTGTGGTATACCTGTAATATGCTTCATACTATAATAAGCAAAAAAAACTGTT